CATTAACCATCATTCAGTACTTGTAAAATGAGCATCTGGTAAGTCATTGTTGAAATACTTCCTTCTTCCTCTGGAGTAGAGTTAAACTTGCTTTTGTTTTTTTTCTTGCTTTAGTTCATTTGTCTGGACCAGATTTTGAAGGATTTTTCATACAAGCCCGGGATGCAGAACATCTGGATAGCCCTGCAGTTGGTTCTTTTGTGTTGGCTGACCGGAGATGTTCTCAGCTGCTGACATGTGGTCGTACCAAGGTAGAGTCCAGTGCCTTAAAATGATTCACTGGGCATGGAGGGGCTTGTACTGGAATATGCCTGCAATAGGACAGAGCTAACCCATGTTACCATGAATTCAGTGAGTCTCTGGGAAAATGGGTCCAACTTGGGGTATAAAGGCATGACTCACTGCAGCTCTGGACTGTTCTTATGAGCTGTTTAAACTGTCCTGGTGACAGAAGGCTGTTGACTGCTGCAGTAAGATGCAGCATTTGGTAATGCAAATTTTACACAATGAACATTATGTATTCCTAATATTAAAAGGAGGAGCCATTGCACTCTTTTTGCACATTGTCTCTTCATCCTCTTATTGTCAAAAAGTGGAGCATTTCCTTACTAAGAAAACATCACTATTTCTGCATAAATGCTGCAGGGACCTCTGCCTCATTGGTGGAGTCTTCTGGACTGAAATTCATTCCTTTTACTCTTGAAGCTTGTTATTATGACTAAGTTGCAGTGCTACACCTCGCTTGAGCTGATTGTGACTGACTGAGGAAAAGCCAGTTGCACTGGGGTTGTGCAGTGTCTCTGTAAGATTTAGTTGCGGGCTCTGCTGACTGTGTTAAATAACAAAATGTGTATCCACTATGTAATTCTTGATATGTGTGTGTTTCCAGAATTCAGCTGTCAGTCACACAAGTAAAGCAAAAAAGAAAGACATAAAAGTTTATTGGGTTGCTCCTGGAGATGCTCCAAAGCATGTACAGTTTCTGTAAGTAAGCCTAATATCAATTCTAATTTATTGAAATGCAGAAAAGGTAAACCTGTACCATTGTCTGTGTCAAATGTTGTCCAGCAACTGAAAAGCCCTTGGGTCCAATGGCTTGAAAATTCAACACCCCTTATTTGCTGCAGAAACTTTTTAGAGAGAGCTTGATTTTTATTTTTTTTTTTAAATTTTATTTTATTTTTTCTCTCCCCAGGGAAAGTATAAGGGGATTTGGAGACTGTTTTCTTTAGTTTTTCTAGCTACTTTCTCACTTCTCATACCTGCAATATACACTGTTAAGAATCTTTTTCTTTGCTGCACCTAACCAAATGATATGTATATAGACTACTAGCTTTTTGTGAACTACAGGATAAAGGCAACTCTTCTCTGAAGTTCTAATCAATGCCATAGGCATGAATGTTTCTTATATCCACTGCAGCATGTGGTATTATGTTTTAAAATTCTTTTTCTACTGAGATTTAAGATATTTTCCTACTCCAGAAAATGATAGAGGTCTCAATAAAGATGAGGGTTTTACAAATTGTGTGAACTACAGATTCTTCCTTTTTTTTTTTCTTTTTAAAGTAGCAGGTAGCTATAAATGTATACAGTAATGATTCTGTGTGTGTTGTGTTTTTTTTTTTAAGAGCGACAGTTGTGAAGAAATACAGGATTTTCTGGGTAAAGATTCCAGGTCCCATTGTTTCCCAGCCTGATGTCCTCTCCCCAGCACCACCTTTGCATGCAACGACAGAGGCTATGTCAACTTCACACCCAGTTTCCTACATATCAAAGCCAGTAAGTAATTATCAAGCTAAATCAGGCTTTCTTTAATGCTTGTGATGAATGGAATTTAATGAGATGACATTGATACAGCCTATTAACAAAATGTAAGATGATGGATGAGCAACTGATATCTAAGGCTAAGAACATGACAGCTACTCAGTTCAGTTGCCTGAACTTTGCAGGGTCAAATATTCACGTGCTGCACACAGATCGGGAGATTACCAGAGCATTCAGAAATTAATGATCAGAAAATATTGTGCATACTGGTCATGAGAGATGAGAAAAGACTTAATCTGGTCTTGACTCATGACTTCCTATTTAGCAACTGCAGGCTCAGAAGCTTTCTTCTCGGAGTTCATCTGTGTTACTGACTTCTGTTACTGAGTCTTGAATGGATCAAGCAAGCATTGCTATTTGATCCAGGATAACTGTGGCTTAAAATCAATATATTTTCTCAATGTGTATCAGTGGAGTTTCTACTTTAAAAAGCAAGCGTAATGCTGTAG